TTAATTATTTTTCTTTCACTTTTTTGCAGACCAAATTTACAATTAAAAGAGTTGGAATATTTTTTTTTTTAAATTGCGTTTATCTGATTGGATGTAATGTATATTTTGGTACGTCTTTTATTTGTGAATTATTTATTATTTATTTAGGAATTTTAAATATATTTTTTATTCTTAAAAAAAAATTAAATGTAACAACAATAATAACATCTAATCACATTATACGGTCAACACACATTATATGATCAACTGTCATTAATCAAAAGTTTAAAATGATTTTTGTAATTTTGAAGTGATGAGTATTAATTATTTAATGATTAAATGAAAGATTAAATACATCAAAATGTAACGGTTTTTGGAGGGAAAATTGTTAAATTGCCACATAGGTAAAATTAATAGGTTTTATTAAATTCTATTAGCTAGTAATTATATATATATAGATTAACTAATTCTCATATTTTGTTAATCTCTATCACCTTCAAAACTTTTATTTTATTTTTCAATTTCCAATAATCATAAAAAAATGAGTAATATATTTAATGAATAATTGTAGATGACTCCATAAGTTTGCTACGACTTCAAAACATCAGTGCACACTTACAAGGATAATTGTACTATATTAAAATTTTAGTTTCTCCGATTAAAATTTATTTATCAAACAATCTGACGATCAATATTTTTATACTTTTATAATTCAGTTTATGCACATTTATGTCTTTTACTATACATCGTTGCAACTGTTTAAAACAACTAATTAATTCATATGATCAAAAATTTCTTAACTTCAAAGATTGGCTTTCATTGGAATTAATAAATCCTATAAAGGATATGGATGAAATACAAACTATGCACATAATATATTTTGTTATCATGGGGTATGTGTGTGTTCTGATTCAATAACAAAAAATTAAACTTGGTAAATGTAGTGCAGTAATCAAATTATCCCAAAATCTTTGTGGACCAAAATGTACACCTTGGTTTTAATTTGATCATTGATAATTATCTTTATATGTTCACTGTGCTATATATAGCTTTT